GTTAGACATTAAAAACCTATAAATTACTCATATCAAAATTCTTTCGGCATACAGATGTAACAAAATTATAAATAAAGACATAAGTAAATCACAAAAAATATCATTGAATGACATTTAAAGGGGGATCAACCTAGAATTATTCTAATTATTTATTGACCGATCCCTCAATGCAAATTCAAAATGATATTCCAATTTTTAAATTAAATATCTCGGGCAAATTTTGTGGTCCGTTAGTCAAACGTTTTGTGTTTATTTTGTGTAACGAGTTTGCGAATGGAAATATCTATCTACAACCAACGATGGTGTAAATAAAGGCCTTATGTAGATACGACGTATATTTGTTTAAATAACTTTCAATGAAAATGTTCAATAATAACAGTATTTCACGAACAATTTTACAAAATGCATTTCACGTAAAATGTTTCAATGACATCTATGATACTGAAAAAATTAGAGAAGATCGGCCTGCGCAGCAAGCTTTGCTCAGTTTTCTGTAGTAAGTCTGGACAAGCGACTGAGCCATTAGGAGGGAAAATTTATTACCGCTGCGAAGTCTAGTTAGGCGAGCCTCCGTAATAGGCTTTGGCCCTAGCCTATATTTGCAAATAGGGCCTCACGAACTTCAGTTTTGGCAATGGAAGTTGAATAGTTTCAGAGTATTTCATAGACAAAATTAAGCAATCTCAACTTTTATTTGTGTTCACTCAATTAAAAAAATTTTTATTGTACAATTGGTTATAACACTTCACTGAAGAAACATTTGAATTTTGAGAATGTTCCTATAAAGTTCAGAAATATTTCAATGCTATTATTGCTTCTGTATTCAACTTCTAATAGTATTATAATGAATTATAACTTCTAATACTATTTAACTAATCATGAACTGCTCAACGGCTGACTTTATAAAGTTATCTCTAATGGCTATGGATTATCGCTTCTATTGTTCTATTCTATGAATTGATAAGATAAAACCTAAAAGTAAAATCCAACATAGAACTTTTTGTACCACTGGTTTATAGGATTTATGTTAATTAACTAGATGATTTGAACCATCACTTTCACTTCTTCTTTTCGTAGTTCTCACCAGAACGCATAGTAGTTGTTGTGTATTTAACAGGAGGTTTGGGTTTTTAGAGTTTGAGCTTCTGCCACCCTCGCTTTGCAGCTAAGTACTACATTTTTGTAACTGGAAGTATATATTTAAGTCCAACGGTTGCCAAAATAAAGGCCAGATAAAGACCTTTATGGGCACAGTGTATATAGGAGTACATTTCTCCCTTGTACAGAATCTCCGTGGGCATACATACAATGGATACTGCATAGTTTCCACAGCGGCATGCATTCGGTGCGTTATAGAAATCGATTATGGTATATAATCGATATTTTCACAGCATATATAAAGCTTATAATTAGCAGGAAAGCGTTATGAAAAGGCTAATAATTTGATTAAATTATTCGTTTTTAAGTATATCTACAAAGTATTGACACCGGCATAAAACCAACGACTTCATATAACGGGTATATGTCTCGTTGCATAAAACCGACATAGTCTAGGATCGGAAGCCGGTTTCTGAGTAACCGTACCAATCCTGTGCCTATAAAGAGGCTATCTATTCAACGCGGTTTCGATCCGCGTTCATTAGAAACGCTCGAATCCGTTTTCAGAAGAAAGTCTCAATGATAATTTAGTAACTGAATTTTACAACGTGACTTGCAACCGATTTAATAAACATTTTATTTTCCAGGAATTCAAGAAGCGACTAAAAAATAAGGAAATACTCGTTTTGGAAAAATCCTGATCATTTTGGAATTTTCTGAACTTAAATGGAAAAATTAGGATTCTGCAAGCTTAGTTCCTAGCATACCTGATAGGAGTACTAAAATCAAGATTTTACAAAATCAAAGACGTCACCAAGAGCATAGAAAAAGAATTAGGAAAAGGAAATGGCTCTCACTTGTATAGAATTAAAGGATTTTTAACTTAGATCAAATCTAAATCGAACTTAAAAGGTCTGATTATTGCCGTGGGTATACAAGCAAGTGCCCCATTCTCCACTTCCCAGGGTTCTTAAATTCTGATTTAATGTATAAAATATGAAAAATATAAGCATTTTTTCACTTCGAGGTTTTAAAAACTTAAAATGAGAAAGGGGAATAAAATTTAAAACTTACCATTTTTGTTTTTTAATACCTTTCGTAGATTGCTAAATTATGATTTATAATGAGGAAGATGACATGGTTTTTTTAAACAATTCCAGAAACATTTTAAAGATGATCAGGACTTAAATAACACAAAATGACATAACAGAAGAAATCTTTCTTACACATTTGAAAGAAACTAAGATTTTAATTCTACATTTTACTCACATATTTAATAAACGATTTGATAAACAAGCTTAATTAGTCTGTGTAGGAAACTTAATTAGGACCAACAATTAGGATAAAGCAAATTAGGATAATTAGGATAAAACAAACTTAATTAGGACCAACAAGATTTCCTTCCCTCCTTCCCGCTAATGTATACATAAGTAATGCTCGCTGTCGAAAAATTCAATGGTGAGTTTTCAGTGAAACGCATAATGGTGACCCCACAACAAGTTTTACTATTTTTCTAGACAAAAAGTAAAACAGTACAAGATGAGAATAATATGCAGGTAAATCTTTCTCTGTTAACTTACTTGCTAAATTCTTATGGGCTAAACCCTGAGTAGAGCTTGAAGCTAAGGCCCACATTCGCAATTAGATGCAAATACTAGGAATCGATTTCTTTAACAAGGAGGTAACATAGCAACTGTCCGAGCTAACATAACATAACATAACAATAGGGCGCTTCCTTCTTATGAAAAGAAGGAAAGGAGTTTAGGCAAAATTGCCCATTACTCTTCCGCCATTTGATCATTTAAGTTAAGGGATTTAAATGGTAACTCCCGTAAAAGGTAAGTAATAAATAAATAGATAAGATCTCAAACTGACACCAAATCTATAGTATCAGCAAAAGATCCCATCTCTAAGTTCAAGGTGTCGGCTGGATCGTAAAAAAAAAACTTCCCTATTGGATTGGATGGAAAACCGATTCAATCCCTCCCAAACCACCAAACGCAATTCTTGACCAAACAAGAGTGCGATGGAGAGTCAAATAAATAAATAAATAAATAAGGAGGGCAGAGGTGCATTCTCAAGCCAAATGGCCAGGTAGTGTATAAAGATTTGATATCATTATATTCCAAAACACAGCTATGAGAGGGAAATCCCTGCATAGTTTCTTTTCAAAAAAAAAAAAAAAAAAAAAAAAAAAAAGAACTCACAGGGCGTCTCAAAGCTTGTTTCTTGTGGTTCCATATTCACCTTACCTGTAGGTGTTTAGTATACATCAGAAGAAACCCTATTATGCCAGAGAGCCCTTTGTATAAAAGGGCTTGATCAAAGGTAATATAGGGAAACCCAAGGAATTTGTTTCTAGGGACAGAGAAACACCGGACATCGTCCCAAAAAGTGAAAATATGTTTCCTCTTCTTCTCCACAAGCTGGGCAGAGAGGAGATTCAACAAGACCACATTTGTGGAGATGCTTAGCTAGATAAGCATGTCCAGTAACAATTTGAATTACCTGGCGTAAGTTAGTTCTACTGAGGTGTATGAGTTTACCTGAAAAGTTAAGTGTACTGAGCACCAATTTAGAATGAGCACAGTCTGGAGTTAGTTTAGACCATATATCATCATGTTTGTTCTTTATCCAGCTTCTTACTTCTTTTTTAACCGTTTGATATGAAACTGGGTAAAATGGTTCTGGGCCAGACATGGGGAGTTGCGAAGCATCTTTAGCTACTTTATCAGCTAGTTCATTTCCAGCAAAATCACAATGACCTGGGACCCAGACTAAACTAATGGTATTATGGGCCTGAGCCAGAGAATTGAGATCTTGAGTACAGTTCAAAACACAGTTTTGTAACTTGACACGATTAGCCAGGGCAAGGATGGCTGATTGGCTGTCAGAGAGAATATATATATACTTATTAACTGTATTTTTAGCTAAGAGCTCCTTGGCGACCATATTGATCGCCAGAACCTCGGCTTGGAAAACAGTTGTAAATTTACCAAGGTATAGATGAAATCTAATGAAATCTTCTTCAGATCCCTTGGTCCTTATAATAGCTCCAGCTCCAGTGAAGTTGGATTTTGATCCATCTGTGTAACATTCAATTGAGCCTGTTGGAATTAGGTCAATTAGAGATTCTATCTCATTCCTTTTTGGTATATGAGTTGAAAATAGTTTATCTGGAACTATTGTTTTAGTAATTGCATCTTTGGGCATATAGATTATAGGGATCTCATTGCCCAAGTCCAGGCATATGTCAATGTGGCTTTTCAGGTGGCTTTATGACCAAAACCTGTCCTTTGGCACCATGTGCCATTTTATTCAATCTATACATGGCTTTAATTGCTTCTCCGCTCAAGAATAATTTCAAGGGTGGAATTTGCAGTAAAAATTCTAATGCAGCAGTAGGGGTACTATTTAAAGCCCCACTAATGCTTAGGCAAGCAAGTCTTTGCACCTTTTGTAAAATGTTTAAATACGAGCTTTTGTTAATAACATTAATCCAGACCACGCATCCGTAAGAAAGCATTGGCCGGACAATGGCAGTATAAATCCATAGAGTAGATTTTGGGTTAAGGCCCCATTGTTTACCAACGATTCGCCTACAAAGTACTAGAACATTTGTGGCTGTTTGTGCCTTTTCTTTTATATGGGTGATCCATGTAAGTTTACTATCCAGGTAACATCCTAGGTATTTAACGCATTCCTTACGCCTAATAATCTGGTGACCCAGATATAAATCTGCCAGTTTCCATTTCCTTCTCCACGTGAAAACTATGACCTCAGATTTTTCAGCAGAGAAAGAAAGGCCATTTGTATCACCCCAGTGTGAAACTTTATTTAAGATCTGCTGAGCTTGATTATGTAGGGTTCCGATATCGAAACCCTGTAATAACACAATAAGGTCATCTGCATAAGCCTGTGACATGCCAGGTTCCTCCCGTAGAAGTACTAAGAGTGAGTCGAAAAACCAGGTTCCACAGGAACGGAGAAAAAGGAGAAAGAATACCACCCTGCGGACACCCTTTAGTAATATCTCTCTTTACTTCATAGTCAGCGAGACTAACACAGATATTCCTGTTTTTAATCATGAAGATGACCCATCTAGTTATCATAGGGTGAATATGACTTCCAGTAAGGGCCTTATGTATTTTCTCGAAACCGATGTTATCAAAGGCTCCTACAATATCCAGTAGAATCCCAATGGCAAAGTGTCCGTCTATAATTGTCTTTTCTATTCTCCACACGAGTTGGTGTAAGGCCGACTCAGTGGAGGAGAAGCCAGGCCTAAAACCCTGTTGGTCTAAGCCAAAGATATGTTTCAGATTATTATCTGACTGGAGGTGCCAGAAAATCAATCGCTCCAACAGCTTAAGCTGGAAGGATGTTAGCGTGATCATTCTAAAAGAGTTTGGTTTCTCATATGTATCTTTTCCTGGTTTAGGAAGAGAAACACACCTCGTGAAGTTCTCCAGACCTTAGGAACATATCCTAAAATTAAACTGGACCTGAATATGTCCACGAGAATGTGACCAAAAATATCCCAGCCTTTCTGAAGCAGAATTGGGTAAATGCCATCGTTCCCTGGAGATTTAAAGGGAAGAAATACATCAAGGGCCGCTTTAGCCTTTTCAAAATTCACAATTGTCTTAGCAAAATCCAGATCTAATGGATTATGAAGTAGTTCCAATGGATTTTCCTGGGGGTCAGAGGTGACACTTCTGTCCCCCAGATGAAAATTCAACATGGTCGAAAGTGTATCCAAAGGGTTTATAGTATAACTGCCATCAGGTCGCATAACCGATGAGAGTTGAGACTCCTGAGATCTTTTAAGAATCTTATGTACTCTGGCAGTCTCATGGTAGGACAGAATATCTGTGCAGAACGATCTCCATGAGTTGTATTTAGTTTTCCTGATTTCACTTTTAAATTTCCTTTGTAGAATTTTGAAGTTAGACCAGTTAACTTCAGATTTATTTCTGACAGCTTTCCTGTGCGCTCTCCGAACCTCTAGGCGGAGGCTTTCAAGCTCCTTGGTCCACCAAACTCTCTTGCTAGGAGAGTACTTCCTTCGTTTGAGAGGGCATGATGCATGATAAGATTCAATAATGATATATTTGTCAAGGTTGTTTGCTTGAATATCAAGCTCCTCGACTGTACAATTATTGTCTAAAACCTGAAAGGTTAATAACATTAGAAACCAGGAAATCCTTATAAAGGTCCCCAATTTGTGTTTTTAAGTGTTTCTGAAATATTCAACTGGAATTTCATCTCTAATACAAAATTGTATAAGGCGATGGTCAGAAAGTGAGGGATTGTCACTTACATGCCAATTCTCAATAAGGTTATAAATATCAGATGAAGTTAATGTGAGGTCAATGACTTCTTCTCTTCTTCTGTTAACAAAGGTGGGGCGATTTCCCCTATTTACCCAAGTTAGGTTGGTATTCATTATAAATTCCATGAGTTTTCTCCTCTAGGATTAGTATCAGAACTGCCCCATGACAGGTGGTGAGCGTTAAGCATCACCACCAATAACCATAGGAATATTGTTTATTTCACAGAAGCTCACAAGATCTATAAATTCTTGCGGAATGTTAAGGTCATAAGCCATGTAAACTGAGCAAAAACAAATGTTTCCTCTCAGTGAACTGTTTATGTCCTTAATTACAATAGCAGTTAAGTCCTCTGATGTAAATTGGGATAATTCATAGCCATTTATATTTTTTAGAAATGTAAATGCTAGTTCTAGGTCTTTTATCAGGTCCCTCTGTCGAAAAGAAGTGCGCGTTCATGGGCCTACCAAGGATTTTACCTTTTACCTTGTACACCCAAGGTTCTTGAATTAAGGCAACAAAAGTGTGCTTGCTTACCTAATTGAGCAGCTAAATTATATGAAGCTGCTCTGCTATGTTGCAAGTTTAAGCTGACTAACCTTAACCATTAAAACAGGTTAAATGAAAGATAAGAACTTACCCTGAAGGATTTTAGGAGAGACTTAGTTAAAAGCCGCATCCTTAACCATCACTACTTCAAAGGAAGTAGTGACAAGGGAAACCTATTCAGGTGTCTTCCCAGAGCCTCCAAAAAAAGTTCCAAAAAAAGCTCTGGTTCCGACTCCTTTTCGGTCTTCCCCTTCTTCCATCAACTGTTTCTTCGGAGGATCCCTTGGGCGAAGGAATTGATTTCTCCTGTTTGTCTTGGTTCCTTCAACTGTACACAGCCACGGGCACCACAAAAAAGTTTGAAATTCTGGGCCTCCAGGATAATCCATAAGTTCATGTTCTACTCCCAGCACCAAGGTATTACCTCCGTCTCCAGGGATGATAACTGCCTTGATGGCGATCTTCTTAACATCAAGGCCCTTGTTGCAGGCATCAAGGAGCTTGATGTTATCTTTTGGTGACCTGTTTCCAGGAAACCAAGCGAAAAACCTCTTCATGGGGGGGGGTCTGTCTCCGGGAGCCATGGCATGATAACCTGGATGGTTTTCTTCAGGGCCGGGTAGATCATTAATTAAAATCTTCAGGACGTCCACAGTCTCCTGGTCCTCACATGCAATGTTGAGGACCATTCGGCTGCAGGACTGTCTTGTGGACCCTGCAGGTGGTGATAGAGCCATCTATAATTCGGATCATCAATTATAGAGTGTGATGAAATCTGAATCCACCGATGTTATGTCTCTGGAAGTCATCCTTGCAGACGACCCGCACAGAGTGATTGCCTTTCCTGCAGCTTGACTATAAAGCCGTCGTTTCTTGAGGGCCATTTCCGGGGTGTCACCAGCAATGCGTTCTCTCTTACGAGACTCTTCATTGCTTGGAATGGTTCTTCCTCACCAGTTTGGAGGTTGCTCCAGAGGTCCCAGCTTTATCTGTTTTCTCTTTCGCTCCCTTCTCCCCAGAGATCGAGATTCCTTCCATGGCCCTCTCCAGTCGTTTCCGCTCCTTTCTGGCGTTGCTCTTTTTTTCTCTTTTTTATTTACAACCTCCATCATTGGTGACTGGTCATCCATCCGCTTGCGCATCTGGCACATAGTACTTCTGACAGAGGAGTCAGTTAGTATCCATCCCCACTGGGTTCAAGGCGTCCGTGTCCAAAGGCACATTCACCCCTTTCACCAGCGGTTCTGGTTTCTGTAGTCCTAAAGAGAAGAGCGTCCGCACCCGAGGGTACATTCACTCCCTCAGAAGGAATTACAGTGGTTATAGTGGGGATTTCAGAAGATGCGTTTTTATCTAATTTTGTATTACAAGCATCCATTTTGGTATAAGATTGAAGGAAGGGGGAGAGAAAAATTCCTTCCGATTTTCTAAGAGCCAGTTTGGAGGGGCTAGCCCCAGATTCAGCAGCCAGTAGTGACCTCGGAAGAGCCCCCCCGCTCTGCCATGCAGGACCCCACCCAGGCACCACCTGGAACTACACAAGGCAGGCGAGATTATACACCAGCTGATAGAGCAGCCAGGACATGCTGGTTAGGCTGCCCCGGGCTCCTGTACTATCTGGCGGCCTGAGACGCAAAAACTCAGCTTTTCTTTCTGTATCCTCTACATGGCTGCTTCCTCCAAGACCCCTCCTCTCCAGATCAAAGGTCCTCGGAATTTCAAATCCTCCCCACAATCGCCGGTTTTCCCAGGGAAGAGCGGTCCGTTGGGTCGTCATAAGATTACTCCTCATCAGACCGAACCTCATCCCACTGAACCCCAGTATGCCACAGGACTTTGTGACAGTTACCCATTTAGCACCACCCAGGGGGCACGTGTGACTTAAGGATAATCACGGACGCGGGTAACATTACCCCCCAACTGTCCGAGCTAGGTAAGAGCCTCTACCTTCGGTAAGCTACTTTTGGTCCGCCACGAACAGCGCCCACGATTAATTCCCTAGTGACCTTGACAACAGCACGATATGTCAGGTGATGTGGCGTTGGAACACCTAAATAGTGATATAAATCAAAAGATAGTTCTGGAATTAATTTCTCGTTTCCTTTGGTGGAGGAATGAAATAGGTTGCGTTAAATGAGTTGAAGCAGAGTAGCCAGTTAATTCTCTTTAATTGCTTACATCGACCGACTGACCAATCAATCCACAGCCAATGAAATATGAAATGTACGGAAATTGGCATGTATAGTGTTTCATTTTTAAATAAAATTTTAAAGGGCGAAATATTCTCTCACTGAGCTCCTTTTTCTGAGATCTTTTTATCTGAAAAATATTCATATTTCTTTGTTTAATTTCTAAATTACAGCTGCTAGAAATGATAGAACTATATTCTTCGGCAGATGCACAAGCTTTCTAGCATATCTTGTGTTCTCAGATTTGGTTTGGAGACTAGTATAGTCGTGCATATATGTGTATATAGGAAAGAGATGAAAATGTTATTGCAAAGGATTTCATAAGGGTCCGATTAAGGAAGCACAAGGGCGGCATTTGGCCAACGGGCCACTTTTTGCCGACCTCTGCACTAAACTAACCTACTAAATATGATTAAGTCTTCTCTAATCAAACCTAATAAATATGATTAAGTCTTCTCTTACCAAAACGGTTCTCAAATTAATTGTGATGACTTATTTTCCATAATACATATTTTTAAAGGGACAAGCCGGTTCTTGGCGGATATGCAGCGAATGCTCCATACGCAGATGGCAAAATTAAAGGCGCCAAATTCGATCAACATCCTGTAAAGTTGAAACACCTTGTACAAGGGCAAATACATTATCAAATGATTTTTTGTTCAAATACCAAAATAAGTTATTAAATTATGTATTTAAAATCATGTAAAGGCGAACAAAAAATTGTCTTACGCGAAGTCGTTTGAACCCCCAGAAACGAGCTTGTTAAAGGTTAAACCTGTCGTCTTGCATATATCGCCTTAGGCATATCAAGAATCGATATGATTGTTTATCTCCTTAAATGTTATTTGGCTCGCATAATAATAAACAACGATTTTAGTTTTGAAATATCTCAGTTTGAATCAGAAATCATACTACGACACCTCTTTATTAATAGTCCTTAATTTAAATACGTTAAATTATATGATATAAATTCTAATTTTCAATACAACAGAATCTTGATTATCCTAGAAAAATGGGATCATAACCACCTTGCATAATCGAAATATCAATAAATAGAGGCTAAATTTTAAATCAAGCCTCGGTAACCTATGACAAGCTGGTCACCGAGTGACCCATTTCATAATTTTCAGTGACCTACTTGAGTTACTAAAATTAAGTATAAGGTATAAAATGCATTGTAAAACCTAAAAATCAAACGAACACCTGAAGGATAGATAAAAAAGAAAATAATAAATAATAATAACAAATTTTTTCGTTTGATTACAGAGTTTTAATAAGAATATGTTTTTTTTTCAAAAAAAAATATTGTAACATAATTTCAAGGCC